CTTCTGGTTGTGGAAAATAACAGTTATTCAATTAATTGAACGTTTCTATAAACCAGAAAAAGGAACAGTAAAAATTAATGGAAGAAATATTCAAGAATTTAATTTAGCAACATTAAGAAATAAAATTGGATATGTTGGACAAGAACCATTATTATTTGCTGGAACTATTGGAGAAAATATTGTTAGTGGTATGTGTGGAAGCTGGACTGATGACCAATTAGAAAATGGAGGAAATCTTGTTGCAGAAAATATGGACAAAATTGTAGCTGCTGCTAAAATGGCTAATTGTCATAATTTCATTTGTCAACTCCCACAAGGATATAATACTATTATTGGTGAAAGAGGAACTTCATTATCTGGTGGTCAAAAACAAAGAATTGCTATTGCTAGAGCATTAATAACTCAACCCGAATTACTTATTCTTGATGAAGCAACATCAGCACTTGATTCTGAATCTGAAATGATTGTCCAACAAGCAATTGACAAGATTGCTAAACAAGTAACATCAATTGTTATTGCTCATAGATTATCAACTGTAAAAGATTCTGATATTATTGTTGTTCTTTCTGGAGGAAAAGTAGTAGAACAAGGAACTCATGATGAATTGATGAAAGAAGAAGGTGTTTATTTCCATTTGGTCCAAATTCAAGCTCAATAGAATAATTTATTATCAATTTTTACTATTCATCATTTAAAAAAATTTTTTTTTTATAAAAATTAAACTAAGCCATAATGAACAACAAATTATCTAGAAGTTTTTCTTCCTTTTGGTTTCTCAACTTCACTATATTCTTTTGGAGACATCTTTTTCTTCTTAGAGTATTCAGTTTCATTGATTATACTCATCAACAAATGTTCCATTCCCATTTCTTTAAGTGGTGTTGACAATGAGACATCTCTCACTGGTCCACTAAATGAATGAATTTTTGTTCCACGAGCATTAAAACTTTCACGAATTGCATTGATTAAATCTTGTAATGTGTTTTCTTCTTTCATTGTAACAAAAAAATCTCCTGAAATTGGGTTTGGGATTTTTATGATAAATACGTTACTCATGCGATAGTTATGCTATTTATCTCTTTTCAAGTTTTTCTCTTTTTAATTTGTTTTTTAATTTTCTTCATTTTCTAAAAATGTTATTAAATTAAAAATGCTAACTTACTTTATATTATGATTATTTTGATATTTGTTAAATAAAACTCATAAAATATGACTTTATTTATCACTTTTTTCACTTTAATAATTAAACTAATGTTTCGTGTATTTTCATTTTATTTCTTCTATTATTTTTTCATGATCAATAAGGATTGTATATTTTTGTTTCATATAGTTCTTTGCTTTTTATTTAGTATTTATGTAATTATCAGATACTAACTCATCATTCATTCCTGTTATTATCATTTAATATTATTTTCTTTTTTGTAAAGGATAGTATTATTATTTTTTCATAATATTATATAATCGTTTAATATTCCTGTACAATATTTATTACTACTTATTTTATCTTCTATTTCAATACCAATGTATTTGTAATGACTGTCATAAGTTATCCTTGATAGTTCTGCTAATTCTCCATTTATTTAGCCATTTATTTTTATTACATTAAATATACTTTTTGTTAATTTGTAGGTTGTTTCTATTTCGTCATATAGTCATTATCTTCAAACCATCAATACATGACATATGATTTAAATACTTGTTTCTCTTAATTATTCGTTTTAATCTTTAACTTGCTAATTTGCTTTCGACAACACAAAAAAATCATAAACTGGTTATCAACTAATATCATTATTCTTTTAAACCAAACAATTAAAACTTAAAATCATAAAAAAGATTAAATAAAACAAATAATATTATGAATATATGACTAATTATATACATTTTAAAGTATTAAAAAAAATCAAATTTTTAATGAAAAAGAAAGATTTATTAATAAGAAAAAATTATTGGCTTTGTTTCTAAAAATATTTTATTAGTTTTGAATAATGCATCATGAAATAGTCCTACATCAAATATATATTTTATTATTGTTTTTATAAGCCCATTGATATTAGAACTGAATGAAGGTAGAATTTCATAACATTCTTTTAAAATAGTTATGGTCTACAAACAATTAAATCCTTATTTTCTTTAAGTCCATAAAAAGCAGCGTGAGCATATTCCACTGTTTCAAAAGAAATATAATAATGATTTTCTTGTTGAGGAAGGGCTTTTATACGTCCAACCTTTCCATAATTCTCACACAATTTAACAATATCATCGTCCTGATATTTTTGAGATTGTGAAATAATTTTGATAATTGGGATAAATTGATGTGGTGTGTCGTTCATTAAAGTTTGTATGATTAAATTATATTTTACTTAAATGATAAATACTATAATAATTATACTATTTGAAATAATTATTAATCTGATTAAAATAAATTTTTAAAAAATTCTATTTATAATAAAAATAAGTAAAGATAGACTCACTAAAGAAGTTATAAATAAAAAAAAGAAAACAATTTTATAAACTTCTCTTGAAAATACCAAACCAAAAAAAAATTTTACATTGAAATTCTTTTTTGTTTAGTATTTTTAATTACAATCATGTGTTGACTGATTGACTTTCTTTGATGAAAGATTTCAGCAACTTTTATAACATTTGAGGGGTTGCAGATACTGATCTAAAGATAGCTTTCCTGCTTCCATTTCGTGGTTTAGCTTTAACTACAGTTAAGGAAACTGGTGATGTATTTTGTGAATCAAAGACAACTTGGCTTTCTTTTTGATGGAATGCTTTGTCTGGTGTTAAGAAGCGATATTGAGAATATTCAATCCCTGAATAAATATCAAGATCTTCTTCACTATTTTCCATCACTTGAGTAACCTCGTCTTTCTTTTCTTCATCTTCATCATCATATTCCCATGGCATAAGACCACTAGAAACTTTAATCTTTCTTCGACTCAATATACCACTTTCATACATCCTTTCTCTTCTTTTTCCATTTTTCTTACCACTTTCTTTTCCATTATTTGCTGAATTAGGTGGTAATGAATAGGATGGATAATCCCCAACACTTCTATATTCAATATGCAATTGATCTAATAAATCTCTTAATGGTTTTAATTGGGATTTGACATCACTTAACTTTTGAATTCTGTCATGGCTATGATCATCCTCCACTAATACCAAAGGAGTATCACAACTAGGACAAAACATTCTATGAGTAACTGTATCATAATAATCCATTGCATCAATATATGAATATTTATATTCATCTCGTGGACACATATATACAGCATCTTCTACCATATGTGAGTCATTATAACTATTAACAATTTTACAATATTTAAATACAATGTTTTCAATAGTTTCTTGATATTTAATAATATACGCAGTTGAATTTTTTCTTCTTTCTCCATTCATTTCAGAAAATTGAAGTTCACTAATAAACTTTTGTTCCTGTAATTGTTTTAAACAATTAGAAACTTTATTTACTGGCATTCCAATCGCTTCACTTATACTTTTATCCGTTTGGAATGATTGGCAACTTTGTAACTGAATTAAGACGAGTAATGAAGATGAATCTAATATCAATCCAACTGC